GATACCATAGATATAGTATCGATACCATCAGACCCCAATGACTAGTAACAACTATTTGAATTAAATATAAACAAAGGTAGTACTGATACTCCCTTTAGGAGTGTCGATACCCCTTGTTCTGGGCAGCTTTATTTTGCACGAAAATTGGTCCCCAATAGCTCCAAAACACCTCCAACGGCTAGAAATGATCACAACAACATTCCAACATATAAATACAAGTTGAGGACACTTGAAGAAGGGTTAGAACACCTATCTAAGAAATCAAACATAAGAGAAGATTTTTCCAATCTTATTTTCATTTCTCTTTTAAATATTTTGTTCTTGTGAGCTAAATTTTGTAAACACTTACCTTGTAGTGGTTTATTTGTTTACTTCTTTTATCATTTTTTGTAAAGGGGTTGCTCTATCTTAGCCAAGTGAAAAACATAGGGAGTGTAAAGGTTATCTTTTGATCCTTTAAAAAGAAAGAAAAAATTAGTGAATTTGTTAGAAAATCCTTAGTGATGAGCTAAGGTATTGGAGGTAGACTTGGTTGATAAGTCGAACCACTACAAATCATTGTGTCAAATTTCTCTATCTTTTGCTCTTCTTACTCCCTAACCTAAATATTGTCAATTAACTCCCTTTGCACATTTTCGATTGTTCAATTGAGCCTCTTCAAATCCCAATATAAAGTATATGCCCGGTGTTGGGCCAACTTGTCAATAGGGGCTTTGTTAGGTACAACAGGGAAGTAACAGGATGATCACATCTAAGGTTGACTATAAGTTGATCGAATATCTCCTTCATGCTAAGGAGATATTCTTGTTTGATTCGATTTACAGTAGGATTTCCCCGTTGATCAAGACCTTGGGCTCGTTGTTGAGCCTGTTGTGTAGGATTTCGATCTATCCCTACACTATCTCTTTCATTTAAGAATCCCACAAGACTTCCACTTTCCCTAGCTATTCTTGTTTCTGACATTCTATGATAGAATAAAAGGAAAATTTTAGGTTAGGTAAGAATACAAGTATGCTTAAATACAACTCCTAAGTGGCTCAATGTAATCCTATATGATACATGAGACTCGATTTAGTTCTAGACTCAACCAAAAGCTCTTATTACCATTAAATGTAACACCCCAAACCTAAATCAAGGGTTAGGAGCATTACAGAGACATTAAACATGATCAAGATCAATAGAACTAAAAAAATAAGTTATCATGTTTTTCTCGCTGTGGCATTCCCCTTATTTGTCTCTATATCAAATTCCTTAATCTTGCCCTTGTCATGCTTGGTAGCGCCTTCATCTTTCTTCTTGGGCTCCTCAACATGCTTCCCAATATGGATGCCACTTAGAGTAGTAATGCTTTGCACTGCTTATTACATTAAGTTTTTCCTTACTGCTTGGGATTTTCAGTATTACTGGGTAGCGTTCCTTGCAATCTATTTCTCAGAGCATTTTCCATTTGGCCTACTTGATTTTCTAAAGCCCTTAGTGAAGCTGATTTACTTTTCATGTACTCATTCATTAAAGCTTCGAGAGATGATAGATTAGTAGTTTATGTTAAAGATTGGCCTTGAAAGTTTTACCTTTGATGGGACTATGTAGCATGATACTATACTTGAGGCTGTGGTATCGCTTGCTGCTGATTGTAATGTTGCAGTTGAGGATTGGCAACATTCTGGCTCCTCCAAGACATGTTAGAATGGTATTGAAAGTTAGCATTATAGGTGATGCCATATTTGTCATTTCTATTGTAATTTCTCACATAGAAGATGGACTCGGAGTTTTGAGGGAATTCTTCAAAATTGTGACTATCTCAACAATAAACACAAGAGATGCCATTTGTAGCTTTTACCTCATAAATTCCCCTTTTTTTGCAACTTCGTCACCATATCAGTCAATGCTGAAATTTGAGAGGCCATAGAATTGAACATGTCAGTCTCCATTACTCTATTATTGCGCATGTCGAACATGTGTCTCATATTTGGGTATTGGTAGTCATTGCTCGATATCCTCTCTAGAATATCATAGGCTTCATTATATGTCTTGTCCAATAAAGCTCCATTTTCTGAAGCATCCATCACCATACGAGTGTGTTTGTTTAATCCATTGTATAACATTTTCATTTGTGTCTAATACAGAAATCTATGCATCAAACACTCGTGCAACAAGTCCTTAAATCTTTCCCACGTCTTGTACGAACTTTCATCTTCCATCTACTTATATGAAGTAAGGTCTTTTCATAGTTTGACATTCATGTTAGGTGGGTTGAATCATATAGAATTTTTGCGCCAACTTATTCTAAGATGATATGGCACCAGGAGGTAGCAATGCTAGTAAAGCTCCAGTTTTTTCGCGCAAATAGTGAGGAAAAAGCTTTAGCTTTAATGCCTCTTCAGGAACACCTTGTTGCACAAATGAATCACACAATTTCATAAATATCGGAGGTGTTTACGCGGATCTTTAGTAATTGACCCACCATATTGCCCTATTAACTGCAACATCTGGAACATAACCGACTTCAGCTCAAAGTTTACTGCATGTATTGCTAATCTCACAATGCTCGGATGTAGATCGTTAAGGGTTGGCCCTACATGTTCTTGGATAGGTCGGTTACGATCATTCATATTGTAGAATTGTTGCAGCCCAACTCCATTGCCAACTGACAATACATCATCATCTCTATGATGTAGCGGAGGTAGAGCATTATTCTCTTGTCTAGCCATAAATGCTTGTTTTCTGGAAACTTCTCTTCGGCATCTTCGAAATGTTCGTTTTATCTTCATATCGTAAGCTCTAAATCGTATCCACTATGGGGCATAAACCAATGAAACTAAAAAAAAGTGACTACAAAAAGAGATAAACAAATAAGTAAATAATAAAATAAACTCTAATGTAAAATCGATGCTCCCCGAGAATGGCACCAAAAACTTGGTGTTGTGTAAATGCTACAGCAAAGTGCTAGCATACACTGTCAAACAAGTAATAAAGTGGTAACAAAATTGTTACGGATGTCGAATCCCACATGGAGCAAAACTGATTACAATAGAGTTCAAGTGCAAAGAAGTTAGAGTTAGTGATTAACAAACACAAAGTAGAAAGAGGAGAATTGATATTAATAAAGTAGGGGAATGTTATGACAAACAAATGAGTAATAAGTCCAATGGACCTAAGATGTTGTCATACTGGGTTGCTAGCAAAATGATAATATTGTAGCACTATGTTTCATGAGTTACACAATAATTAATTTACAACCTAATAGTTTCTAACTCTAATTAAAAATTCATATTTTCATAATTAATAAAGCATAATATTGGCTTCCTATATCTCTATAAGAATTAATCACTCTTGTAATCACCAATGCTCTACCAAAGTTAGCATGCAATCTCAATTAAGTTTATCTCTAAAAATAATCAAAACAACATGCATAAAATAATATTACCTCTAATCAACATCATATAAAAACCACAACTTATAAACATAGTTCAAAACAAAAATCATTGTCCAAGCATTTAATTGAACACTTCATGTTTGATACTCAATAAAACAATAAATAAACATTCAACATCACAATAATGCTTTTGCCTTTCTCAAGTTCGAAACATGATAGTAAAGTTGAACCCCAATCGACCACCGCTGCTCACGATTACTCTATTGCTACTGTTGTACGCCCTGACGAATAGATTAGGATGTCATCGTGGTTAAAAGATATGGAGAAAAATGTTGGAGATGAATAAAAATTGATGATAAAATGGTGGAGAGAGCACTCTTATTTATAGGTTGAGGGAGTGGACCTTGAACCAATAGTATTTCGCCATAATTTAAGTGATTCTAGAGCCTTGACAAGCTACCCTCTTCCAACTGTACTTTCTAGAAGGTTCTCCATTCTTCACCTGATAAGTCACCTGATTTTGCAAAACCGCTCAGCAATACAGCACAACATCACTTGCAGCTTCAAGCAATGCCCCCAGCATCAGTGTACCCAATTCCAGCATTAAACATAAAAATTAGGGAAACAATCACCAACTTAGTCTCATCATGCAAATGATATAAATTATGTACAAATTAATCATAAAATGCTCCTAATAATTCTAGGGTTCAAGCTTAACCTAGGTAAAAAGACTTCTAAATGATAACTCTTTTTTAGAGTTATCAGGATTCCATCTCGAGATTTCTTGATATGGTTACCGATGATAATTTTTGTCAAACTATTTTTAGTATGGACCTTTTCAAAGCTCTGGGAATTGATGGGTTTCATGTTTTTTTCTTCCAAAAAAAACTGGGATGTGTTAGGCAAGGAGTTGTGTAAGCTTATTCGGGATTGTTTTGCTAATAGATCGATCACTCCGGTTATGAATAAAATGATTCTCGTTCTCATTCCCAAAAACACAGTACCAGAATCGATATCCCAATTTAGACCGATAAGTCTTTGTACAGTTCCCTATAAAGTGGTTACTAAGGTAATTGTGAACCGCATGAAACCTCTCTTGCCGAAACCGGTCCTAGAAAATCAAAAAAGCTTTGTTCCAAAGCGCAACATTATAGATAATATCGTCATTACTCAAGAGGTTAGTAGAGCACAAGGTTCTTAACCTTGAGTTCGTGGGATCGAGTCTCACGGAGGGCATTTCATAATTTGGAGGTCTCCCACGGAAGTTGCTCTCGCGTTGGGGGAAGCCTACTATCTTACCTCCCCCTTACCCCATTACATATGTGAATAAGGGTCAGCTAATTTTCAAGAGGTTATCTATTTGACGCACAAAAAGAAAGGAAGGAAGGGATGGATGGTTATCAAAATCGATCTTGAGAAAGTTTACTATCGGTTTGAATGGTTGTTCATTGATGATACCCTCCAAGACATGAGGTGTCCGAATGACATCCGATAACTGATAATGAATTGTGTTTCGACGGGTACTACTCAAGTGTAGTGGAATGGCACTTTATTGGATGATTTTAAGCCTTCTTGGGGTATTTAGCAAGGGGATCCCCTTTCGCCTTATCTTTTCGTACCATGCATGGACTGTCTTGCTCAGGCAGTCCGAAAGGAGGTTACGGATGGTAATTGGGTTCCAATTGCTATTTCTCTTGGGGAGCCACCTTTGACTAATTTATTCTTAGCTGATGACTAATTTGTTGAAGCTTCCCTTGAACAACTTGATGTGATTCAACGAGTTCTTAGGGATTTTTGTTATAGCTCTGGCCATCAGGTGAGTCAAGCAAAAACGAATATTTGTTTCTCAAGTAATGTGGATCTGAATCTTTGTAGTGAGATAAGCGATGGCTATCAATTTACCCATGTTGAAGATCTCGGAAGGTACCTAGGAGTTCCTCTTCTTCTTAAGCGAGTTACCCGGGGCACATTCGCTTACATTGTTCAAAGGGTACATGATCGGCTTGCGGGTCGGAAATTAAAAACTCTATCTCTGGCTGGTAGAGTTACTCTTGCAAAATCAGTTTTGATTAATATTCCTTCTTATGTGATGCAAACTAATCGTATTCCAAAAGCGGTGTGTGAGGAAATTAAGAGACTCACAAGAAATTTTATTTCGGGATATACAGATACAACAAAAGGGGTCAATCTCGTTTGTTGGGATCAGGTGTTTTCCAACTAAAGAAGGCGGACTTGGATTACGAAGAATGGTAGCCCAAAATAAAGCGTTTCTTATGAAGCTTGGTTTTCGTTTGCTCATTGATAAAGATCAATTATGGGCAAAGGTTTTGCATTCTAAATATAAATTGAAAGATAAGCTTCCAAGTCAATTGTATCGAAACGACTGCTCCCGAAATTGGAGGGGGTTGGATGTGGTTTGGCCTGATGTTAGACAAGGCATTGTTTGGACTCTCGACTCTGGTATAAAGATTGACTTCTTGAAGGATAATTGGGTGGGTGACACTGCCCCGTTGATCGATCATTATGCAGGTACCCAATTGGATCATACATCCTTTACTTCGGTGGTCGATATGGTTGGTCCAGATGGTGAATGGCACTAGAACCAATTTTGCTCTTGTATGTCGGATTCCATCATCTTAGCGATTGTCGCAGTTAAGCCTCCTTCACCGTTAGGAGGGGAGGATCAGCCTGGCTGGAAGTGAGATGTAAATCGGAGATTTACAACGTCGAGCGCATATGTTAAGCATATTGGTGAGTATGGTGTTGTTGATTTGGAGCTGTGGCTAAGCATCACAAAGGTCTTCCCCGAGTACGAATGCTCTTGTGGCTTATATGTAAGAATCGGCTGATGACGAATGAGGAACGAGTTCACCGCTACCTGACTGACTCTCCACTCATATTTTCAGGGATTGCGTGATTGCTAGATCTGCTTGGTCTAAGATCATTAAACTAGAACGGCTTGATGAATTTTTGTAAATGAATATATTTGATTGGATTCGTATTAACATTGAAAACTCCAGGTACTATCCGATTAATGCTAACGATTGGGATTTATTCTTTGGCTCGTTACTTTGGAGCATTTGGATTAGGCGCAATAGATTTATTTTTGCACTGGATACTATAGTTAGAGAAAGCGTGCTTGTTATGGCGCATAAGCTTTGGATGGAGGCTCAACAGTCTGCCTCAAAACAAAGTGGTACTCCGAGTCACTGGCGTCACAACGAGCTTTAAATCACTGACGGCCACCACTGGAGGGATGGATGAAATTCAATACTGATGGTGCTCGTAACTCGAATTCGGGGTCTACCACTTGTGGGGGGTTCTTCACGATTCAAATGGTAATTGGCTATTTGGTTTTTCAAAGGCTCTGGAGCGATGCTCGGTGTTAGATGCTGAGCTTTGGGGCGTTTATGACAGCCTAAATATTGATTAGGATCTTCAGAACATATTTGTCGAAACAGATTGCCGAGAGGCTTCATCTCTCTCCTGCTGCAAGGTGAAGCCATGGACCGGATATCTCACATAGTTCCCCATCTTGTTGAGTTGCTCTCTCGAAATTGACAGGTACAGATTGCTCATGTTTCACTAGATAGGAATAAAGCTGCAGATGCAATGGCAAAAATCGCGTGATGCAATCGATTGGACTGGTCTGATATGCCTAGTCTCCCCCGGCGATGGACAACATGATAGTTGAAGATCTAGATTATTTGTATTCAAAAAAAAAAAAAAAATCATTACATCACATATTAAATATTTTTAAAAAGATAATTCTAATCATCGTACCTAACTTTAATATATATATATATATATTATGTTAATATTTTATTATAATTAGATATTTTTTAATCCAATTAAACACCTTATTTTTTTTCTTTGATACAATTAAGTATTTTATATAATTTTCTATTATAATTATTGCTACCTAGTATTTTTGTACGTGATAATAATTTTATTATAACTAGATAACTATTGTAGAGTAATTAGACATTTCGGCTTTCTTCTTTGATACAATTAAATATCTAATATAATTTTTTATATTTATTAATATATAATATTTATGAAAATTTTAAATATAATTAGATAATTATTTTTGTACAACTAAACACTTAGTTTTTCTGTTTATACAAAACTATTACTTTTAGATATAAACACCAACATTTTAATTGGTTGACATAACTTTTTATCATATGTGGCGAATCAAGTAATTAAAATAATAAAAAAAATATTAAACATCTATTTGACTAAACTAAAATTAACAAAAAAATATTTAATTTAGACAATTATTTTTTAATTAAGCCTAGTAATAACACAATAGAATCGGACATTATAAACATGAACTTTTGAAGAGAATGAAAATGAGACGGTTATGATCATTCCAGCTACAAAAATACGTTATAAGTAAATATTAACTTAAGACTCAGAATATAAGCTAAGCACAAGCATAAACCAAGAAAGAAACAACCATCTTGGCCTATTCGCCCTCCCCAAAGAAATCCTTGAGCTATGGTACAAAAATGGTCTCAATATCCATCTAACGTCCATAGATCAATCGCTCTCACCCTGCTCAAGTTCTTCTAGCTTTGTTTGGTGAATCATTTCCTCTTCCCCACCCTCGTTTTCCACCTCTGAAGTGCTTTCCTCCCCTGATACAAGGGAAAACAGTTTACCCGGTGAATTTACATAGAAGAAAGAACATTGAAGGGGGGATTTTCATAGGGAATTAATTGCTTATCCAGACAAAAGAACAAAGGTGTAAAATGTTTGTCCGCACTGACCTTCCTTGAAAGCGCTTGTTTCCACGGAACTTTTCTTGGCCACCACGAAGTAGACTCCAATATTCTTTCTCGGCATCACCTAAAAACATTTCCCAGCTCATTATCAATTCCTAATCTTATACATCAGGGTTATTGATCTCAACCTACACTTAACAGTTCCTCAAGTACAACATATTATACTGACGTATGCAAGATGAATGTTAGTCAATATTAATATAACATGAAGCAAAAATGAGAAATAATGTTTAAATAAAACTAAATGGAAGGTGATTCTTTCCTTACCGGTCACAGGATCTAAAGCGGCAATGAAATTTTTGACAACCAGACCACCTTCTTCCGCCAGGACAGCGGCAGCACGAGCTTTCTGGGCTGCTTCTGGTGTATCAAACCGAATGTAACCCTTATCCTCACCAATTTTGAAGTCAACATACTTCTCATGTAATAAAATTCATGGTAAGAAATACTAATTAAGAAATCTCAAAATAATAAAAACAAAGAGAAACAATTGTATAGTACAAGGTCAGTTACTTGATCTTTCTTCTAGTATTTTTTTAATTATTCGTTCATATAACACCAACTTCTTTTTGAAATAAATAGTATAATGAAATGATCAACCAAGAAAAGAGAAACCAATTTCAATAATACCTTCACTGCGCCAAACTTTTTGAAGGCTTCCTTCAAATCTTCACGTAAAACAACATTGAGATCATCTTTAAAAGAAGATACAGTGGATTTATGTTCTGTGTCCTCATTCTTTGGAATGGTACTTTTGGTGCCTGTTTCATCAGCAGCATATTCATCACAAGTCTTTTCAGCATTGTCCTTATCATTTATTGTAGTCTTCTCTTCACTCTTTTCAGCCCCACCTTCCTTTGCGAGTTCATCAGAACCATTTGGTTCTGCAGAGTCCACAGCTGAAATTTTCTTTAATGCAAATGCAACAAGCAATCCTTTGGGGTAGCTGTAACAAATCATTACATGGAGTTTAATTACAAACATATGTCAACAGAAAAACTAATGCCAGTTGAAGATTGTGATTAATGAATTACTTGTCTTCAGCATTGGAGTGATTATCACCATTTGAACCAGCAACTGGATGATTATTCTCAAACTCCTCTGCTTCTTCCTCTCTTATAGCATCAAAATCCTTCCTGCAAAGAAATTGTAAGAATCAAGTCAGAAAAAAAAAATAGTAACAACAGCCACAACCATTGGTTTCACCGTACAACATAATTAGAAAAACAAATTGCAACAAACCAAATAGCAAAAGGTAAAGTTTACTTTGGTTTCAGTTCTAATTCAGCTCCAGAAAAAACCAAGTTTTGCTTCAAAACATTTTGTGCATCTTCCTCAGCTGAGAATTCAATCAAGGCAGTGCCGCAAAAATACTTTTTGTTCGCTACATGACGAGGTAACCTCACACTATTAACCTAAGAAATAAGCAAGAGGAAAATCAAATTTACATTGAACCACAGACATATTTATAACCCCTAAAGATATCATCAATGATCAAATTGTAATTAAAATTAGGAAACGATATTAGATAATAGGACAACTATTACTTCCATAGCACAAATACCTTAGCATATTGACCAAAAAAGGCTTGCACATCTTCCATCTTGACATTAAACTCAAATGGTGATGCAGCAATCGTTCGACTGTCTAATTGCTCAATTAATTCGTCAGGCTGTAAAAGAGTAGTGGCTCTGCCAACTTTGATCCCTGAAAGATTGAAACCAATTTAAAATTAATTAATTATATATATCACTTTTTTCTGTCTTAGCTTAGAAGAGAAAGAACAGATAAAGGATTTTTTTTTTTTTTGAGTTTGGAGAAACTGACCGTCTTCAGAAACCTTGAGGGAAGAGGAAGTTCTTAGAGTTTCAGCCACAGCTTTCAAAGTAGCCTCTGGTACATCTTCTGCTTTCACATCCCTTAAATTCAAATGGCTTCTCATCTTTGAAAACGAACAAATCAATGCTAAACTAACCACTTTTTTAATAATAAAAAAAATCGAAGTCAAGAAAACAGCAATAAGCAGCATAGAATAAGTCAATAAAGTATGATTCGAACAACGGGTAAAATAGTTTTTAAAAAGAGAAGGATACTTCCATCATCCCTTTCGCTGATTTTCTTCCTGAGAAAGCCATCTCTTGGAATATTACTATCACTGAAGTAGAACTCCACCTGTAAAAATAATAATAATAAGCGATCGAAAGATAAAAGGAAAATTAAAGTAGATAAAGATGGGGGAGAGGGAGGGGTTATTGACCTGACGAAGAACGGCCTTGGCGGTATCTTCGCTTAAAGAAGGCGTCGCCATTATTGCAGGGTATGGTGTCCGAGACCAAAATGAAAGGAATTTTCGAGCTAAGAAAACGAAAAGAAGAGTGACGAGTCTTTAGGGTTTTTGGAAATTAGTTTTTGCTTTAGGGTTGGGACTTGGGAGGCAGTTTATATTGTTAATAGTGGGCTTTTTAATTTCTGAAACTCGAACTTATAACTTTAAATTTGATTTAACGGACACGATCGGAACCTAGGCTGATCTCTCCCCTGCCACGTCTGCACGAAATTTGCCATTGACGTTCCATCCAAGTCAAAATATTAGTATATTTTAAGGTAAATTATACATTTAGTATTTAAACTATCAATTTTTATTTAATTTAATATTTAAACTTTTAATACTTTTCAAAACTATACCTAAAATAGTTTAATTTTTATTTTAGTACTCGTTCAAAATTTAACGTTAAATTTTAAAAATAATTAAAAATTTAGGTATTAAAACGGGCTAAAATTGATCATTTAGGAACTAAGTGTTAATTTTTTAGTGACAAATTATTAAAATGAAACAAAAATCAAACGTTAAATATGATTTTAAAAAAATTTAAAAGTTTAAGTATTAAAATAAATCAAAACTTATAGTTTGGGTGTCATTTACCCTATATTTTATTACATTAAAGGAATGAGGCTTTCGTCCCAAAACAAATAGTGCTAAATTATCCAATTATCACCGTAGAATAATTTTTTTTGAATTAAAAATAATAGCTTAAGATCGAATATACATAGGCCTTCTATATCACGGAGCAACAACCTTTCAAGGGAAGGTGGGGCAGATTCTAGCAGGGCGACTTCAGCTAAACCGGAGGAGAATGACTTTGCAAGGTTGTCAGCAATCTTGTTGGCTTCTCGTGGAATCCATCGGCAAGCCATCTCCTAACGACGTTGTCGGAGATGTGCGATAGCTCGAGCTAGTAAGGAAAGATGCTCAGTAGAATGAGGGTCTTCAGTAAGCTTTATAACTTCCAAACAATCAGCCTGGACGAGAACGTTCCTAAATCCCAAGTTCCAAGCAAGGCGGAGGCCGATGTAAATACCACGTAATTAGGAGTCAAGAAGGGAGCAACAACCGAGACCTCGTTGGAATCCGAGGATCCAGACACCATCTGAGTCATGTAAAACACCACCAGCAAAGCTGCAAAGCTGAGGTGGGTTGTGGAGGAGACTGCACCATCCATGTTAATGCAAATCCATCCTAGAGGTGGCGGTTACCATTTGCTAGCTTGGGTAGCAGGACGAGGCACCAAAGAATAGGTTTGAGTGCTATCAGAGTAGTGTTGCGCCAATGCAAACGCGATAGCGACACTACAACAAAACTGTCTTTTTGCGGTGTTTTATACCTATAGAGGCGTTTATAAGCGCCGCAAAAAACACCTGCTGCGTTATGACAAACGCCACAAAAAACGCGGCTGAAAATAGCGTCGCTAAAGTTCGCGACGTTTGTGAACCAAAAACGCTGCAATATGTAACGATATATTGAACAAACGCCGCAACAAGTTCTGATATTTAGCGGCGTTTTTCTTAAAAATGCCGCAACATGTTGTGATATTTAGCGGCGTTTTTATTACAAACGCCGTAATAGGTTTGGACATTTAGTGGCGTTTTTCTTACAAACGCAGCAATATGATCTGGTATATAGCGGCGGTTTTAGGATAAAAACGCAGATAAAGATCTGGTATATAGCGGCGTTTTAGGATACAAACGACGCTGATGGTCTAGTATATAGCAGCGTTTGTATCTTGGAAATGCCACTAAAGGTTGGTATATAACGGCGTTTGTAACAAAAATGCCGCTATAGATGTTAATATTTTGCGGCATTTTTTGATACAAACGCCGCTAAATGTATGATATATTGCGACGTTTTTTGTAACAAACGCCGCTAAATAACACAGAATTTAACCAATTAAAAAATTATTGTCGATTACCCTAAATCTATTTTTTCAACCTGTTCCAATTATCCAACAAACATAACAGCAATAACATCAAACTCTATATCCATAACAAGCAACATCAAATCCAATATAATAAATAACAATTTTCATTAACATAATATAAGTTCAAATAGACATTGTTCAGTAACAATAACATAATGCTGATAACATAAATGAGACTATGATGGTGGATTTTGAGGTTGAGTTTTCTGTATCATATTCATCATATCATTGAGTCGTTTTTCAAATTCTTCACATCTCTGCTGATATGTTGCTTCTTTCTGTGTTGCCACTGCTTCCCTTGCTTCATTTTCCGCTTTCATGTTAGCCATTTGTTTATCCATCTCAGCCAACTGTTATTTTAAACGACCAACTTCTAATTGAGAAGATTAAGACTGTGATGACATGTACTGTGATGAACTGGATCTGAAATATTTGGTGGGAGTAACAAATGATCCTTGACAACGCACCCGGCCATATCTTTCAGGACCCAAAACGTCATTAATAGCTCGGTTTTCAATGTCATCATCATTAACCATACTGTGACTCGAACCAGTGATCTGATACTCCGCCCTTTTCTCCTTCAATTTTTCCTAATAATAAGGTGAATAATTAATTAAAATAAAAAATGTCATGCTACAAATATAAATAAATTCAGGTAAATTTAAAACATGTACTCAATAAACATACAATAATTTCTGCAGCTTCAGCAGTCATAGGAGTTCTATCCTTCTTCGTACGTGTCATGTCGAATAGTTGGATTCAACCAACTTTAGAACCAGATGTATTTTCCTACAAAATATAATAATATAATTACTATGAGTTAGTATGTACATGGAATACAAAAAACAATATCAATAATCTATAATACCTCCTCATTAGCTATACAAGCAAAACTCTTTGATCCAGCCGTGTGTGTAAACTTTTGATGTTTCCTGCTAGCAACACCAACATGCTATCGGTCCTACAATGTCAAACAACCAAAATTAATGATGATTTATAATTCGTTACAATTATTTCTGAAAAATACATCATACCTGTCCTTTTTGTGAACTCCAAAATCTGACTGCATCTTCCTATTGGTACCTGAGCATTCCAGGTGGGACTGTTTGCAGCTTCTCTTCAAGGATGAGATCATTCTTGAAGTATTTCTTCTTTAAGGAGCTCTTGTGGTCCCTCCATCTCTTCCCTAATGCTTGCTTCACATAATCGTCAGAGACCTCCATAGAAAATTTATCCTATACAGCAAATAAGTGTGCACCGTAAGTATACGTTAGTATTGAATTTCTATAGAGTATATACTAATAATGACATTATTACCTTAACAAAATCCAGCGCCTGATGTTTGTTACTATTAGGCATTTCGCGCCATGACTCATAATTGATCGGTAACAGATTCGCATTACATCCAACTATGCCTAAGTAACCTGCTAGAAGACGTGATTCTGGGCCAATAGGTTGACCGGCATCGTTTCTTGAAACTTTGACACGATGCCCAGGAGAAAGTTGATATAATTCCTTCAAAGTTGTACGTTCCCGAGTCTTGCGCGTTCCAGCATTTTCAACTATATAAGAAATTATTAAATGTCAGTTTTGAAAATGAACAAAGTAGTAAATAAAGTTTTGAATATTACCTTGGATTTCTACTTCTTCTTCAACAGTTTCAGGAACTTCGGAAGACTCAGGTGCATTCGATTCCTTGTTATTTCTTTCTTCATGGTCTTCAGAAGGTCGAACAACCCGCAAATCAGTTATTTTTCACCTCGGCATGATATCTGTAATAAACCAACATGTGTAATAAAAAACGAATTAATTAATTAATATATTGAAAGACAACATGTTAGAGGTTATAACATTATAAATAAATAAATAAATATATAAACTCGTACAACATTCTTATGTAATGTCAGTTGTCATAAATATCTTCATCAACGTCCTCTCGAACCCATTGAAATTGTGTTGTATTTATGATAGTTTCATCTAAGTTTTATGGTAGTAGAGGTAAACATTCTAATCTTGTTTCAATTTCATCTCTACTTCCATCTCCGATGTCTATCACGTCTCTGGGAGTATTTCGGAACATAATATACCAACCGTCATCCATTGAATCATGAGAATAAAATACTTGTTTCACTTGAGAAGAAAATACATATGGTTCATCCATCAAACGTTGACTCGTATGAATTAATCGAGAGAAATTCACCTTTGTAAACCCGAATTTATCTCTCTTTATGCATCTGTTTACATCAACCTAGTCACACCAAAACAACACAACCTTTCGTTTTCCATAATAATCTAACTCAATAATGTTCGTAAGATTTCCATAATAATATAGTTGACGAAGTAGCATAACTTATAGTTGACGAAGTAACTACGACTCCACAATTTTGTGTCCTCCTTAATCTTTCACGAGATTTCGTATGGAACCTGAACCCATTAATGAGGAAGGCATTATATCTTTTAACTATTCTATTCGGACCTTGAGAAAGCCATTTAACATTTCAATAACTTCTCTCCCACTCCTAACCTATTACACATGAATGGTGAAGTAATTGGCATTGATGTCGATATAAAAAGCAAGACATATATTATGTATAAGTATTCCATAAGATTTAGTTGCTTACCGTCTGGCCTAACCATTCATGAAAAGTTTCTGTGAATAACTTATGTAGCTCTCGCTGATTTAATCTTCGGGACCATGCACGAGATCTCAAGACTTCTTTAAACTCACTATAAAGTATATTATGTCGTTAAAAATTGATATATATAAAAGATTAAGAGATTTCATATAGCTTGGGTCCGAAAGACTTACATGCGAAATGGATCTATTGAATCGTGATGAAAAAGAACATATCGGTGTGCTTGTACCCATGATGTGTCATCTAAGTGTGCAATTTCAACTTTCCCTAATGGTTGACCATAACTTTCAAACAAATAATATTGAGGTAAGCCATCAGTACTTAACACATCATTTCGATTTGGTCTATTACATCTTGTTTCAACATCTTCCAAATATCTAGAGCAAAATGTCATACATTCCTCTGCCAAATACCCTTCAGCAATTGATCCTTCCGGATAACGCTTATTATGATAATAAGACTTCAACTTGCCCAAGAACCTAGACACAAAACAACATACTACGTAAATACATTTTATTAAAAGGTATAAGAAGT